GTGGGAATAGTTTTTGTATGGAGAGTTTTGTCCTTTCAGACTTCGTCCAACTAAAGTGATGTTTATGTTGATGCAACTTCATATGATGCATGAAGGAAAGCAGATGCTGAGAATTATAATTTAAATTAATTTCTTTAAATATATATTTTGGGGCGCATAGAGTCTGATTTCATTTAGTTTCTTTTTGTTTGTTTTTATCACTTTCGTTATTAAGTGTCCCACATTGTGATAATCAAAGATCTGCAAAGAAAAATGAAATGTTGTGAGAAACTGGACATAAATTTACTGTGGATAATTTAGTGATTAAAGCACTTTCTATACATTTTTGCCTTAATAAATTTATCTTTTAATTAAAGTAGCATCTTTTTAATCAAAATCATGGTCAGATTCATTATGATGAGCAACTAATGCATTTAATGTATTGTTTTGTAAAAGATCCCTTTTGTGTTCATATAATCTTTTATTTAAATTCCTTGATGTTTCTCTGATGTATTCTTTGTGGCAATCATTACAAGTGATAGAGTAAGTTCCTGCTTCAAGTTTTAGGTAGAAGTAGTTGTCACTAATTTTATTTTTAGCTTCTTATTTTCTTTTGTATTAATTAAATCCTTTATTATTTTAGAAGTAGTTGTAACAAATTTTATGTCAAACTTAGATAAATTCTTTGCAGTTGTAGTTGTGATAGAGTTGGTCGGTAGTATAATATATTTTGATTTGTTGGGTTTGTCAGAATACTCTATTCTTCTATTTTGAAATATTTTACAAGTCTTTTGTTTTACATAGACTACAAAATAATTAAAGTATTGGAAGAGCTTAAAAGCATTTTCAATTTATTTCTACACTTTATTAAGGGCTACAAATTTCTCAGTGCTTTTAAATAAAATCCGTTTTGACTGTTATTATGGTGAGAGTAGAAATTTATGAGATCATTTTTATTAGTTGATTTGTGATGGACACTTAGTTATAGGCTACCATCATAATGGTGTAACATGATATCCAGGAATGTCAAAGTGTTATCTGTTTGTGTTTTATAGGTAAATATGTTTGTATATTTGATTTTGTTTAGTTTATCTACAAGGTTAGGTAGTTTTGTAGGGATATATTAGAGCATTATGAATATATTGGAAATACGTTGATTATTTAGGCAAAACATTTTTGAAAGAACAAGATTCAAGAAATTCAAAGAAGATGCATGCCAAAATCCCACTCAGAGGTGAACCCATTGATAATATTTAATAACAGACTAAATAACAGGATTTTCTTTGCTTCATTTAAATCTATCAATGTTATTTGTATTCTAAATTGCAAAAATGTACCACGGACTTTCCATATAAACTTTTTTTTATACTAATGTTCATTCAATACAAGGCCCAAGGGCCACTCAAGGTACAAAATTACTGTGTATGAACATAAGAAAAGGCAAGAAGCAATATTCATGGAGTTATGAAGGCAAGATAATGGTTAACCCTAGACTTGAATACATCCAGATTGTATTAATTAGGAAAACATTCTTCCAAGAGTTTGTTCCAAAAGGGAAAAAGCTGTCCGAATGGCACTTACTTCTTACTATTGGAATATGAAAGGAAAAGAACGATTAACCCTAGACTTGAAGAGGTCAAGATTGTAGTGATTGGGAAAGCATCCTGCTGGGAGTCTGTTCCAAAAAGCAGCAGTTTTTGGAAAGAAGCTGCCCGAATTTAACTTCCTCTTTACTAATGGAATACAAAGGAAATGGGGATGATTCATCCTTGTGTACATGACATGGTGGGTCCCTGTTTTAAATGATAGAGCAGTGAAAAGGTTGTAGAATTTTGTGTATGGGAAAATTTGGCACCTAAGAAGGGGAATCATCTATCAGCTTATATTCCATTAACCTCTAAAGCCTATGGCCATGTGTTGGGCAGAGGAGGGAGGTCAAAGTGTGGTTTGCTGACCTAGATTGAGGGTTTTGTTTTTTATGCCTTATCAACCTTCTGCAGGTTATTTAAAGCCAGAAAATATTTTTTAGATCGTATGAATATTTAGAAATAATAAAGAATAATAATATATGAATATTTGAATTATAATAATAAATTTTACTGACACAAGTTCTATTGATTAACCCATAGCTGGAGGGAGAAGAGGTGGATTCATACCTTTCCTGAGCATATTTGTGTAAGTGAATATAATGAACCTGGCTGGAATTCGAACTCTGATTTCCAGCTCCATTACACCATCCCCATATCCAAGCTTACAACACCTGATATTCCAAAGTGGTTACCAAGCTAGTTATTGACTAGACTTGATGTTGCTTAACTTCAGTGATCATAAGAGAATCAATGTTTCAATGTGACATGACCATAACCCATTATACCACTGTTGTGGAGTATTTTCACAGTGGAGGCTTGTATTTCTAATAAGTCGTACAAAACGTTAGGAACTTGGGAAATAATAGTCAATGACGCAGCAAATCTAGTTGTGATGGTTGGTACTTCAAATGTCCGAATCTCGACTGACACGCACAACACCGTTCTGCCAGACTTGCCACTGCTACTCCTACTTATTATCTATGGGAGAGTCCATTACCAAAGAATAGGTACTATGGCACAACAGCCACCCACACATACAAGCATACAGCACCTGGTATTTCCAAGCAGTCACCCATGTAGGTACTGACCAGACTAGACGTTGCTTAACTTTGGTTATTGTAAAACATTTGGTGTGTTAATGGGATATGGGCATAATCCTATTATATCACATGCATATAAAAGCTTACAGCACCTGGTATTCCTAAGTGGTCACCCATCTAAACAATGACCAAGATCAACATTGTTTAACCAGTGATTGTATGAAAATAGGTGTTTTGAACAGGATATGTCCATAAGCCTGCTGGCCCCATTTCTATAATACTCAGCTTTGGAAATTGTATAAATGTTGGACACTCTCCTCATTCCTGTAAACCAGTGGTTCCTAACCATTTTTTTTTTTCTCATTGATCACTTTTACTCTTAATTATTTTTAGTGGACCCCCATAACTGTTTATTTTTGGGTTTTTTTACTAATAGATAAGTTTAGGAATTGTATTATATAAATAGTAAATGTATATAATTTATTTGGAAGTAAAACTAATTTAATGAAAATAAACTTATATTTAAAAACTAAATTCTATGGAAGATTTATGTAAACTTGTAAAATAACTTCTAATAAACAATTTTAAAATAATTAATAAAATTAAAAAAATAGTGAAGATTTATTCAATGAGATCCGTGGGGTTGATACTGCTAAAGCTTAATATTATTAATCATTCCTTTATATATAATACTTATATAATTTATATATTAAATTCATTTTATTATTAATATTTTATTTTTTAATATTTTATATTAATTCATATTAATATTTTATTTTATTAATATTTAAAATTAATATTATTATTTATTTTTAAATTAATTTATATAATAAACTATAATCTTTTATATAATTTTCTGTTTTAGATATATATATAGATATATATATATATATATATATATATATAATCCTTCCTTTACATATCCTTCTCAGTTTTTATTCAACTTTTGCAATCAAAACATCCGGTAAAGTAAAAGGGATACTAACTTATATCACTTGATTTCATTTTCTGCTAGTTTTAGAGTTGTTTTTCAATTTTTAGTATTTTAATATGGCCTAGATTACTGCAGAAATTCCAATTCTCAGTTGTAATAACCGTTCCAAAGTGAAATTGCTGTATAAACCATTAAAATATTATCATGGACCCCCAATTTGTTTTTTTGTTTTTTGTATGAACCCCCAGTAATATCATATGGACATCCAGAGTGCACATGGCCCCTGGTTGAGAACTCCTGCTGTAAATGTTCATGTTCTTGACCAACAAGTAAGAGCAATTATTCACAGAGATATTCTGTTTTTCCTACAAGCTGATATTATTGAACGATGGGAAAAAGGGTGAGAAGTGAAAAAAAAACTTATTGAATCGTAAGTTCTATGCTAGCAGTTTCTTCTCACTTGTGGAACTCTCTTCTGGCATCTTGCTTTCCTGTCAACTAAAATCTTTAAATGCAATGTCAATTGTTATCTTCTGTGTCCATGAATGCCATACTTTTCTTATCCTCTCTCATCAATGTTTTCCTGAGGTTCTTTGTCTTAATAATCCCTTGCAGCTTAGTGGCTTTATCACCTTGCTTGTAGTGAAATGATTACAAAGAATGATTTAAAATACTGATTTTCAAACAGTGTAAGCACCTTTTTCCATAAAAGATTGGCGCAATACAAACTTTCTATCTCTTGCTGCCATTACTTTTGTGTACTTGTAAAATCAGTTGTACTTATATGATCAGTCAGTTATGTGCCATGCGTGATACATGCTTGGGCAATCATGTATCTTTTGATACATGACTGACGAGGCAGATTTTTTTCCCATAGAAGGTTGCCATCCAAGGCTATAGAATTCCGTCTGTCCTGCTATTTACCCATAGCTGGGGGGAGAAGAAGAAGAGGATTCATACCTTTCCCAAGGGTATTAGCACATAAGTGAATGTAATGGATTCAACTGGATGGTACTGACAGAGATTATATAATCCAATCTCTTCACATCTCTCAAAATTATATGTAAACGTAATGTTAAATTTAGTGCATTTTGACAGCAACTCTTCTTGCCAACATGTTTTTTTACAAAGAATAAACAATCAACTGTGATATGATTTAGAAAAATAAATGATTTAAAATACTGAGTTTTAAACATTGTAAACTCTTTTCTCGTTAATAGATTAGTACAATACAATCTTCCTATCTCATGCTGCCATTACTTTTGTGTACTTGTAAAATCAGAAATACTTATTTTGTATAAATATCTGTTCCAATCTCTTCACATCATTCAGAAATGTAATGTTAAATTGAGTGCATTTTTGTAGCAACTCTTCTTGTCAACAGGTTTTATTAAAAAGAAAAAACATGTTGTATATTAAATTTATTAATTGTTTTCTCCAAAATATACATCAGGCTAA